AAAAAAAAAAAACAATGTCTCTAGGCGCTGGCGATTACATCCACAGGCAGTGATGTTGTGGTGTAGATTTACTTTACTTAAACCCCATCCTGTATTTTGTAGTTTGAATCAGCTTGACAAAACAAGAGAAAAAGAGAAGGGTATGCTTTTAAAAGTGGCTCACGTATTTTTCAAAAACAAAGATTTCAGGCAAAGTTAGGTACTGTGAGGCCATGGCCAAGAATGTGTCCAGTAAAAAAAGATTAGATAAACCATTAAATAGTTCGGGAAAGGCATCGGCCATCCTGCTCCCCCTCCCTAACTTGAGAATTTGCTTACACAGTCCCCATGGTTGTTTTCTTGCTTGATTGGATTATGGCCACACACCTCAAGCTCAGCTTCCACCACCAATCAATGAGGAAAGGAGGTGTCAACACACTGGTGTTTATTCAACACTCATTTATTTTTCTACCGGAAGCCGAAGCTAGCTCGGCCACAGAAGATACCAGATGAGTGAGGGGATTTTCTTTGAGCATTTCGAATTACTGCTCATTTCTAATCGCATTACATGATGTACAAGTGCTAAATATTTTTACAAACAATAATCTGCTCAGTTTATTTTCATTTTATTTAATTGCATTCAATTTAAATTCCTTGACAGTTTTGAATTAAAATGAGCCAATTTACTATGAAATTACTAATGCCTTTATAATGACACTTTGTGCAAATATTTAGAGTCAATATTATTACAAGTGTATATTAAAATTCGGTCTTGTCTTGTTCCTAATCTCTTTTACAACTGAGAAGATGGGGCTGTTAAACTTCAGGCTGTGCGTCCATATGACCAAGCTAAAGGAACTGGTAATGGGAAGACACCAGGAAGTCTGTAATGCTTCCAGTCAGCATGAAGTGCCATCAAAATAAAACCCGCACAGTAGCTGCTGCTTTAAAACAACTGGGGCAATTGAAAATTCCCCTCCCAATTTATGCCAAATGCCACTTTATAAACATTCTAGCATGACTGCCAAGTGTCTGCACTGCTTTATGCCCCTTCTCTTAATTGAAAACGTTATAGGGGTGCATTACACTTGGGGTTTTTATAAGCTGTGCTATAAAGCTCTAGCAGGCCCTGAGAGGGGAAACTGCCCATTAACTTATAAGGTCCAGGCCTTGGCTCTCTTAATTGACAACCTCTAGGCTACTTTCATCACTTGTCGACTTCATAGCGGCAGTCAATGCTTCCTCCAGGATGCTGTTGCATCTTTGACACGAGGGTGTTTGTGACAAAGAGCAGTCTGCCGCCAATGCCAGGGCGAGGGCTCTAGGCTGTCCATAAAACAAGCACACACATTCCTCTCCTAGTTCCAGCCATCTGAGAGGGCTGCATTTAACCATGTAGGTCCTGCTTCCTGCCCAGAAACACCCGCCCAAATTCAATATGAAGGAATGTAGACTTTTTTATGCTTATGCAAGTCTACACATCACATATCATAGAAATCCAGACAGACACTTTCACTTTATAAAGCAATTTAAAATATTAGAAGAAAAATAGGAGATGATAAATTAAAAGAGGGATTATTGAGAGAAAGAATATTTTATTTCTTATCTGGAAATCACCACAAGCACAAAACAAGTGCAAACACGCGCGCGCACACACACACAACACCAGACTGGCGTGACAGTCACTTCACCCTCTAATTTGGCAGGATCATCAGCTTTGTGCCTCTGGAAATTCATGCACCTTGAATTAGAGCCACATGTCACAATGTAGCTGACCAACACAGACACATTACTAGAATATTAAACCCACTTAAGTTCTTTGTAAATGACATTCAAACTGTTTGAAGTTTCTCATTATACCTCCCTATGAGACTTGCATGACAATTTACAAAAGGTATAAGAGCACTAGGGAACTTTGACTGCTAACCATCTGTCACTGAACCTCATGATGTAATACTCCTTCAACGTTAGGGGACTTAGAAGCAACACATTTTAGAAAGAATGGTCAAAATCAAAGCAGCAGAGGAAAAAAACACTGGATCCTGCATTTGATGATAGGAGACATACCGTTACAGTAACTAGCCCTTAAGATGATTGAAACAATTAAATGATTCACAAAATAGTAAACAGACATACAGATTGTTTTATTTATAATGTGAACCACATGACCCCACTAACAGATTCACTCTCCGCAATTTAAGTACATCACTGACCTTTGCTTCAAGTTCCAGATTCAACCCATATAACTGAACTATGTTTGGCTCAATTGACACATACCATTAAAGTAACCATCCCTTAACATCCCACACTGTATTTGGCCCTTGTTTGTCATGTTTTATATCAATACCGGAATGTTTCATCATTGCAACTTGATGAGATCGTGTTTCCTCAGTTTGTGTTTTTATTTAGTGTTTTATTGTTTAAAAAACATCCATTACTGTACTCTATATGTGTGTATGTGTGTGTGTGTGTGTGTGTGTGCTTGAATGCATGCATGCATGTGTGTGTAAAAGTTTAAGAGCACCAATAAAACCACAACACTGAACCATACTCCTCTTGCTCTCTCTCTCTCTCTNNGTGCAATACAAATAAAGTCTGATTGATTAATTGATTGAATATTATAGCCATGTTAGCTGCGTCGATGAACTAAAATAACCTTGTTAATCTCTGTTCATCTAGCGCCACCATCAGGTCAAAATGTTCTATTTGTTCTGTACTTTGGTTTATGACCATATTATTATTCCCATAAGTCCAAACTGTACTTTGTGTTTAGTGCTAATTTGCTAACCTTAGATGGTGAACAACTGCATGTACACCTGCTAAACATCAGCAGGTTAACATTGTCACTGTGAGCACATTAGCATGCCTAAGTTAGCTTTGGGCACTGCTGGGCCTCAGTGCAGCCTTACAGAGCTGGCTTTATACTTTTACTCTTGCTATAGAATGGCGCACCAATGTGATGTACTTCGAGTTGTCAGATGTGTATTTCATTTGCTGGATTCATTTATTAATTTACAATGATGGAAAATAAAGAAAGATGAATGAAACAATTACCTAATTCACAAAACAGTACACATATAGACATGCAATTGTATTATTTATAATGTGAAACTACATGATGCCACTAACAGCTATACTGCCTGCAATGTAAGTACATCACTGACCTTTGCTTCAAGTTATAGAATTAACCCGTGTAATTGACCCCATGTGGCACAATTATTGAACTGGTTTAATCTTGGCTTTGGCCCAAAGTCACACATGCGTAAGCGAAACCAATAACATTATTATCATAATTCCATTATGTTTTATCAATTCAATTAATATAGCAACAAAAATATTCACTTGGTGGCTGTTGTTACCTAAATATAATATATTGCTGATAGGAAAGACTGTGACCACAATGTTTCCAGTTTAGATGACTGGAAATTTGTGGGTGTGGAGAGTGAATGAGAAGGACTCAACAACAAATGCTCGACCTACAAGCTCTTAAGCAAGTGGCTCAGCTTCACTGAGGGCCGTGAAGCTGCTCATTAGCCACCAGAGCAGAAAGCCTGTGGTTGCACTGGGTGTATAAACTAAAGAGACTGACAGTACTTTCTGAAATATGATCATAACCAAACTATGACAATAGAGGAATTCAAATGCACACCACTGTGTATTTGTCTGTCAAAAAGATGTTAATCTGATGAATACAGTTTTTTTTAATGTACCACTTTGAAAAGGACAGTTCCTTTTATATCAGCAAGGGTATTGGAAAGTATAAAGTACTACTAATCAGTAACTGTAATCAGTGAAATGCTATCAAAAGGTGTCACCAGTTTCTTTAGTAATATTATATCATCCATTCAGATTCAGTGACTTCCTGGAGTCTGCACATCATCACAGTGAGGTTGCCAGGCAACCAGCACTACAGCCCAAGATGCTCAGCTGGGCAGTGCTGTGCGGATGGAAAAGAAAAGTTTGACCTTGTTTGTGAATGGATTAAACAAGCTTGATTCGTGTTTCGAGTTTTTCGAGTTTCACCTGCTTCTAGACTTTATGCTAAGCTAGGCTAACCTAACCGAGGCAGCTGGACTTGCAAGATCAAAGACCATCAAAAGCGAGAACCCATCTCGCCAGGTTTCAGCCTATGCCATTGTGGCTCGCACAGGCACAAGAGTGCTATCGCTCTTCTCATCTAACTCTCATCTCAACTAATCCCTCTCCACTGTGGTGCATTGACCTCTCTCCACCACCGTAGCACAGCCTGATCAGTACAGACTGCCGTAGACTGACACAACCAGATTAGTTAGTAATATCTGATACTTGAAAAGACAAATGCAACAAGACATGAAGTCAAAAGAATGTTTAAAACTTTATACTTCTTTCCATCGTCGTCCTTGTTGACAAAAAAGTATACACTGAAAGCTAGATGGAAACACAACAGAATATTAAACACCTACCTACCTCAACATCACAAGAGTGCAGTGCGGCTGTGCAACAGTAGATCAGTTAAATGGATGAGATACACTCTGTACAGCAACAGCAACACAGTAACACCATACAACCTGCACAATACAAGGTGACATCCCAAGAATAAAAAGCTAACAGTTACACCCCGTTTCATACCCCAGTTCCCCCAGTAGTCAGCTTAGCACCTTTCAGCTTTCTCTCTGTCCAACTACCTGGCCTCGGTGTGTTACTGCTATCAGTAACAGCAGGTTTAGATCTCCTCATTCAGAGACACTGGAGTACAGTGGACCACAGCACGGTTTATCTTCTGACGTTCTGTGCACATTGTCCAGCCTTTATAAACTCATTCGAGACGTAACAAACAAGTATCCACACACATATATAATGTTAAATGCTGTACTTCTCCCCAGCGCACAAAACAAGAGCTATCTCTGTGTCCAGCAACTGCAGCTACCGTCCAATTGATGAACACTTATGACACCAACTGAGCGCCGTTAAATGCTGCCGACTGCAGAGAGAGACAGAGCACCTTTGGGAGAGGCAGAAACAGAAAACATACAGTGACTTACTGTGGAACAAGTCGTCTCACAGCTCTGGTCATGTGCGCCGCCATGATTCCTTCGGTGACGCGCAGAAAGAGCGAGCAGCGATTGGCTGCCGAAGCAGTTCCTTCGTAAAGACCGAGCTATGGGATTGGCTACGGCATAGACGAGGGGCGGGCTCTGGAGGACTCTTAGCACATGGGAAGGTAAACAGTAGTGGGATGGTACTGTTGTGGGAATGGGCGGGGCGAAACAGATTTGGAAAAGAAAAACATTTATGATAAAAGTAATTTATTTTACAATATAATTTGAAAGAAGTAATAGAAACGAGTTAAAATGAAGGTTAAAGTTGGTCAATAGAGATGATCTAAATCAGTTATATCCTGTGTGTTTGCTACATCCCACAATTCTTTGCCTCACAGATGGTGTCTGTCTACAATAACTCCTGTGTCCTGCTCTATGAGACAGAAGGGACAGAGGCAGACTGAAGCTTGCAATGGAGAGAAACAGGGGAGGAATAAGAGCGAGGAGAGATCTGAGCACAAGGCACGTCACCCCAGGAGTTCTCTCTCACAGCAGTGGTGAATTACTACCACTACCATCAGCCAGGTCCAAGTGTGGTGCACAAATGACACGCAATATTTGCCGTGATTAAGTCAGCAGGGGATTTGCTCCAAATGTCAGCATTCAGAAGACAGCCATTGGCCTGTGGGTGTATTTAAATGTGTATGTGCTGCTGAACATACTTTACTTTAGGAAGGTTGTAGACCTAAATGTGTTTGGTGGCAGTATTACCCTTAGTAGAAATAGAGGAAAAGGCTAAGTCCATGGTGATCATCTCTTGGTCTTGCTTCAGTAGGAAAATACCTGCCTTGACATCGCAGATAATAACAAAAGAAATGTTTATATGTATATATATATATATATATATATATATATGTATATACTCATTAAAAGGAACTCTAGTTTTCCCATTTTTGCAGAGACCAGAAAGTGTACATTCATGGCCCAAACACCTGAGGCTCAGAACTGCTCACAACTGATAGACATAAGGAACCTGTAACAATGTGTGACTATATGCCATTATTTTTTTTCCAGAGCATTTCTGTTGGACTCGTGCTGTTCTTAATAGATGTTTTTCCCTCTCTCCCAAAGGATGGCAGCACATGAAAAACAGAAACATGAGTTTTAATACTAGCTCACAAACCTTTACAACCTGACCTACAATAGATCATTGATTTTTATACATCTTATTTTGGTGGCTACTTCTCCAGTACATCTATGGTCTAGGTAAGAAAACATGGATTGTTTTATATAGATTTTATCCTTAAACAAAGGGGGCTTATGTGCACATCCATTCCTACATGGGATAAAAATGCAATGGAGTTGGAAAATTCCATCCATGGGTTACTTGGAAACTACTTCTTTCCCTCCCCCTTCCGTTCATCGAACACAATTGTTGTCTACTAATCCAGTTTTGATAGCATTTGGCACACTTTCTTTGGATCACAGCAAGATGCTCAACTTCCATTCTGGTCTCCCCTAGGAACCTCTGAGCCCAAGAAAGCAGCCGACACCAGGTCGCGCCAGAGCAGGGGGGTTCTCTGTATCCTCATAAAGCAGAGAAAATTATTTTTTGATTCAAGTCACCCCTTGCCACTTGCACACACACACACACAGATCATCAGTCTGGTTGTTAATTCCAGATATATGCTGAATATGTGTTTATTCTTGTCAATCTGTTATGTTGTTAAATGTTGCAATCACCTAATGACCCCCCTGTAAGGCAATAGAATATAAAATATTATGTCAAAGGCAAAACCTTTTTCCCTTTGTCCCCCTCTGTACTCCCTGATCCAAATGGACAATGCATCACTAGGCCTTGATGCCTCAGAAGTCTGGGTTCATTAAAATCTTGAATGAGTGCCAAAGCTGTAGTCATAGATAAAAGGAATATGAAAGGATAACGAAATTTATGGATGGCAAGTCACCACCTCACCCTGGCATTTATAATAAACAAATGGTTTCTGTTTCCAATTTAAATTTCTCATTATACTGTGACTTTTGGAAAATGTGTTTTGATTTACCAACATTTTATCTGAAAAACTGTATAATTGATTAGATTTACATGGCTCTGATTTTAATGCTGATCGCCTGCCTTCACCAACAACCCCCACCCCCAACCCAATACTCACCAAAAAAGAATGATCTGAACAGCTCCTGAGGCACATTAACATCATATAAAACAAACCTACATATCAAACAGTCTTTTTTCTGATAAAATAATTGGCTTTAACCAGCATAGAATCCAATTCATCCCTTTGAAAGAAACTTCTGTGAGGCCACCAAAAAAAAAAATGGTGAGATAGACTTCACAGCCCGAGTGAGATGGACATCAATGCACTGTGCCAGCAATGGCTATATTAACCCATGGCTAAATCCCATCACACAAATGTCAGTGTATCCGTTATGAAACCATGACATTTAGATCCAAGGTCTCCATTGTGGTTTTAGAGGGAGCTGATGTTTGTCCATTCTTTGCATCCATCAAACCTGCACACAGCCTCACAGCTAACTGTACTCTAAACACAGAAAGGTTAAAGATCATAAGGGCTTATGTGCCTAATTTTATTGCAAAATACATAGTGTGGTTTATGTAATTTTTAAAATAATGTTTCGTATTTAATGTTATTACAAAAAAAGATTTTATCTGTTTTGTTTTTTTTCTCATGTATGACCAATATGCTGTATACAAAAAAGATTTTGGTTAGTGACAATTACATAATTTGGCAATAAAACCTTTGATATCCAGAAATGTTTAGTTATTCTATAAAAGAGAATTATTATTGGAATTTCCACATTGTGGGACTATTAAAGGAATATCTTATCTTATCTTAAGAGTGTCTTTTTTTAAAAGTAGCTATTTAAAATTATATATAACTATAGCAATTTAAAATAGCTACCAGTTACCAATTATTAAACAGTATATTGTCTGCTATTAAAAGATTGTTTTTTATAATGAAATTACAAGTAACACTAAACTGTCTGTTGCCATTTATTTTGTAAACATCATGCACTGAATTACATGCAGAGAAACTGAAACCATTTGACCAACTCCAAACTTACCCTGTTCAACCTCTCCAAACATCAGCGCAACAGACCAGGACAGGCCCAATCTGACACATCACGACTACTCATGAGTCATGTGTAATGAGGAGCAAAAACCACATTCAAGAACAGGACAATGTGTCATAAAGCTCTCATGTTAAGAGTGCAACACCTATGAGCCACTTGGTTAAGAATCACAAGATGTTTAATTATTGCCTCCTTACATTAGCTCGGATCTCCCCCCTCAGGCATCAGTTCGAGGGTCAGGCTGTGGGGTGGTGAGGAAGAGAGGGGGCCGAAACCAGTGGAGATGGTAAAGAGGAATAAAACCCCTTCATTACCAGATCTCTCTCTTACTCTCTCTTTCTCCTACCGACGGCAGTCCAGATCAGGAATTACAAATGATATCATGACAATTTTTCACGCTCTTCAAACCAGTGATGTTTTACCGACTCATTTGCTATGATACCTTGTTACAGATCCAGCTGTGAATCAGGGACATGTCATGGGGCTAGAAGCCCACCTCCCGCTGAGCCTGGCCAATGACCTGGAAGGCAATAGGGGATGCCAGTGCCTGCAGCATGTGCTGCACTGACAAAGCAGCAGGGCACCGTCAAAAACCCTCTCATACAAACTTTGCAGATCACTCCGTTTTTAACAGATGAGTAAGCACTGGTGCAGATTTTTTTTCTCTCCCCTAACACAAGGTTTATGGATTTCCCTTTGCGAGTCTGTGGCTCTGGTTGACACGGAGCAAACCCTTGCCCACAAGGGGAATAGTGTAGTGGTTGATCCAGGATGGAAGGATGCAGATAGCATGTGGCAGGGTCACTGCGCAGGTTAAGCAACAATTCAGTTGAGTGCCTGTAAAGGAAGTGGAGTATGGTTGGAAAAGACCAGCACACCAGTTAAAAAGGCCACACAATCCAGATTAAACTTTGGCCTTTGAACATAAATTACAACATCCCCTCTACACTTTCAGTACTGTATGTTTATTGACTTCAACGTTGGCAAATAGTTTTGAGTATTTATCTCTTTTTGCATTGCCAGATCACTATATAGGAATATTTAGAGATATTTATCCAAAAAACACATCCATCCAAAACAACATGGTGTAATCCAATGAGACAAAGTAGCAACTTAATCCATTCATTAATTTTTGCATTCTTCAACAGGAATTCAATGAGGTTAAGGTTGTTTGGGTTTCCAGATGAGAGCCCTCACGCAATCCCAGGCCCTGATGACTTCTGCATTACTAGAATGATGCGGCCGGGACTGATGGAGCTGAGAGTGTCAGGAGGCATTAGCCTTCAGAGCCTAAAGCTGGTGGACAAAACCAGACTGTGCCCCCTGACCCAATCCGCCGCCAAGTTACTGACCCAGTAATCATGAGAGAAACAGAAAGAGAGAGGGAAGGAGCAATGCTATAAAGGAAGAAAAAATTTTGTGGAATACCAAACTGAGAAAGATAAGATGAGTACACATTCAGATTGAGAGAAAAGGCAGAGGATAAGAGAAGGAAAGACAAATACCGAGCCTCTGACTTTTCTGCACTTTACCCAAATCACAGGAAATGGTTTTAAGGGCTTTTTTCCTGTTCGGTTCACTCTGATTCCCCCTCTCTCACTTCATTTAACTGAATTAATGAGCAGGTCCAGCCAGACCTCAGAATATTAACTTCCTGAGCACCCTTATTTTGTTGAGGGATTGAGCTTTTGTTGCTCAGTGATAATGGGGATAATTGTACAATAAATAAACATGTTTACTCTGTTTACCTTTTAAGGAATTTCACTCTCAAAGACTTCAGTGGACAAAATATGAACTGTGTGAAAGTTTAAGATGCAAAAATTACATAGAAGGAAGAAAAACACAAAACCTAATTTTAAAGATGTATGATTTAGTATGGAGACTGGCTTGCTTGCAAGTGAGCTTTATGAATGAATGTTCCCGTAGTACTACACTCCGCTCAGCACACTGACGTGGAACAAACACA